CACAGAACGCCGCTTGTTTCAAGAGAATTTCAGTGGCCTGTGCTATTTGGATTATTCGGTGTCTGGAGTATTTAGGCAAATGATTCGGGCATACATCTAGGTGTTCGCGAGAACAAATAATAGGTTCCTACACTAACGGCCGATGTCCTGCCCATGAACATTCCTTATGCAGACATCTTTCAATTCTACAATCTGTTATGTATGTGAATATGAGGACCCTGTAGACTACGAGCGAATCTAACTAATGCGCTGGCTAATCTGTCCTGATCGCACGTCAACAACAACAATAATAATACCGCCGGGCACGCAAGACAAATAAAAGAGAAGACTGGACGTTGATATGAGAGCTTTTACTGTCTCAAACAACAGTCGAAAATGTTAAACAACAACTCCGTATTTATACAATTAGAAAAATCAATGTCACCTTTTAAAAATATTAACGACCTTGGGGATTCAGTAATTTTAAATCGATAATCACGCAGATGCGTGAAATCAATGATTATGCTAATGTGTGAAATAAATAATGAATATTAATGATTCCCCTGCATATATATTACCTCCCCCTTTTAAAAGGAATCTTGCAATCAGTTTAGTATCTTTTTTCCTTGGGGTCGATTTGGAAATGAACTGTTTGTGTTCGTTTGCGCTGGGATCGTCGGCTGGGTAGCATCTCTTGTTTTGTTTCTGACTTGACTGGTGGTATTTTGAAAGTTTCTAGTAGTAAATCCAGTGGCAATTTAGGTTCTTGGGATGTAGTATATCGACGTCGTATCTGATTTTTATGTCTAATCCACCATTCATCCCCAACTTTAACCTTGTACATTAGAGTTCCATGTCGACGTTCTATCAAGCCTTCGGCCCATTTTCTGTTCCTCGGTCGATAATCGCGCACATAGACAGCATCACCCTTGCGGTAATACGTCACACTATTTCTTCGTTGATGTGACGAAGATGGTAACATGGAGTGGTGATGAGTACGTAGCATTCGACCCATTAGAAGTTCTGCAGGACTTTTCTTCTGTTCCGCTAGTGGTGTAGTTCGGTATACAAAAAGAAAGTTTTGTATTGCTTCCGGTTTCGCCCCTCCCCCTGCTTTCAACAAGGCTCGTTTGAAGGTGTCGACAAATCTTTCTGCCTGACCGTTGGATTGAGGGTGATAAGGTGGCGTCCGCACGTGTTGTATACCGTTTCTCCTGCAAAATTCCTGGAACACTTGTGAGGTGAACTGACTGCCATTGTCAGATACGATGATTTCTGGTATACCGTGACATGCGAAGATCTTTTCCAGGACTGATACTGTTCTGCTGCTAGAAGGTGGTGTCACTTGTACTACCTCCGGCCACTTTGAGTAAGAGTCCACGAGAACCAAGTAGTATGTGCCTTCTATCGGCCCAGCAAAATCCACATGTAGGCGGGACCATGGTTTTGACGTGGGCCATGCTCTCGGTAACTCCCGCGGCGGATCTTTGGCTGCCGTGACAGACATCACCTTCAGTTTTTGAGCAGAGCCCGTCTTATGGGAGCTAACAGTTGCTACTTTGTTGCTACCAGACATCGAAGCACTTTTGGCGCAGCCATACTCACTGTGACGATTCGAAGTTGGTTTTTCATTCTTTCTAATGGGCTTAGGTCCAATATATCTGTCTCTTATTTCTGGCTTTCTTGTTGAGGGTTCAATACTTTCTATCTTATGGCATACACTGCTCAACGGAATCTCTGACAGGTGCAACTTCTCGAACCAGTCTAAACCCAAGAGGTCAAGGTTTGAATTGTTGATGTAGCATGTGCCGACGAAATGACTATCGCGAAAACCAACGCTGCATTTAATTTCTCCATTCAATCGAAGTTTTCCACCACATGCACTAATTGCTATCTGATTTGTCTTCTCTATGGTAGGGCATCCCAACTTCTGCCATAATTTCTTTGATATTATTGTAATATCGGATGCTGTGTCGATTTGTAGGCGTGCCGGCCGTGTATTAATCGTCAGATTGATATATTTGCGAGGTGCTGGAGTACTAATATGATATGTGGCAGTAACACCCAAAGACTTAGGCTTGTTGCGCCGTCTGGGTCGACTACGAGATCTGGGTTGGTTGTTGCGTTTGCAGTAGCCATCTTTGTGACCAACAGTATGGCATCGACGGCATTTATGCTGTTTGAATGGGCACAAGTTTGCAAAATGCCAGGAGCCACAGTGCCAGCAGGCTGATGGTGGTTTATGCTGCGGATGAAGCGGTGCGGTTGATGTCGACGGTACTGGATGCACCGCATGCACTTCTGCTGCATTTTGGCTGCCAGACTGCACCAAGACGGTATCGTTGTGAATGTTGATTAAACGCTGATATTCTTCACCGACGTCTTTCAAAGTCATTCGTGGATCTTGTTCCAGACGATTTAATAGACGTGTGCGTATATCAGCAAATTTGGGAGACTGCAAACCACAAATGAAAATCAATACCTTGAACTGGTCTTCTGAGAGTGATTTCAATTTAAAACGTTCACACGTGCGATTGACTATACCCAACTGAGTATGGATATCATCATTTTCGTTCAAAACTAGTTTCATGCAATGATATCGAATGTTGAATAACGATCTCTGATCACCAAACTGATGACGAAGGGTATGGACAGTTTCATCGAATGATCTTTCACTGGGCTTCTGTGGCAGAATTAAGTTGCAGTATTTATCTAGCTCATCTGCTCCCAATTTACGAAGTAGAAGCCGTACTTTCCAGGCATCATCTTTATCCGCAAAGTCTACTCGAAATAGGTCTTCATATCTGCGAAACCAGGTATCAAATGTTACGTTCGCATCTGGATCATAAACGAATTCTGAGATGCTACTACCAATGCTGTCGTTGGCTGCAGATGAATCAGCAGAGCGTGATATTTGTAGACCAGCAAGCATTTCCATCAATTTTAGTTGCTGTTCCATTAGTTTCTCTAAACGCAGTGAGTCCATCTTCAGCAAACCCGTCGCCAAATTTGTTATGTATGTGAATATGAGGACCTTGTAGACTACGAGCGAATCTAACTAATGCGCTGGCTAATCTGTCCTGATCGCACGTCAACAACAACAATAATAATACCGCCGGGCACGCAAGACAAATAAAAGAGAAGACTGGACGTTGATATGAGAGCTTTTACTGTCTCAAACAACAGTCGAAAATGTTAAACAACAACTCCGTATTTATACAATTAGAAAAATCAATGTCACCTTTTAAAAATATTAACGACCTTGGGGATTCAGTAATTTTAAATCGATAATCACGCAGATGCGTGAAATCAATGATTATGCTAATGTGTGAAATAAATAATGAATATTAATGATTCCCCTGCATATATATTACAATCCTGCTAGGAAGAAACTCAGATGGTTATATGTACGAAAAGATGATTAAGAAATGCACAATAATTCTTCAATTATTGTGAATTTGTAACTGTTGAGACTGATGAAGAAGTAATCAAGGAAACTATTCTTGGTTAAGTAATCAGTATTTTAAATGATCTTTCTTCTAAATTCATAGTTTGTTTACTTTAATCCTAAGTGTTCATCAAGGCATTCTATAAGCTGTTTGTTTACTCTTCAGATGGTTAACGAATTTAAAATGTTGGTATTATGCATAGTCACAAGAACAAAGTACACTCTGATAAAGAAGTTTCTCTACATCACTATAAAATAGTTAATCGAACGAATGAATTCATTTGAAGTACGAATTCGGAGTTACGTAGGTGCATAGCTGATTTCTCAATAAATATTTTCTGTTTCTTGATGACATGAGTTGGTTTGAATTGAACACCCAGTAGGACATAAGCAAACGACATTCCCTCGTCAGCGATTTATTCTGAGTATATTCAGTTTGCCTGCATCAGTCTGCAGTATTTTGAAATAGACTCTGCCAGTCAGTGGACGTGTGTATGCATGTGTAATGCGCACCAGTTCATTCTGTCCTCCTTCATGTCTATGAGACATGTCCAGTGAAATTGAAAGATTTGAAAACGTTAGCTGCCACTGACCACAGATGCTGACAACCGATGGCTGGAGACTATTGTTGGTGTGGTTCGAAATTGTCCTGAATAAATCAGGTGCATTCACTCTTTGTCATCAAACTCATGTTTTGCATGGTAATTAACATCTCCGGCACACTCCTCCTAGCCATAGTTTTTCTGAATGTAATTTTCTCTCTTTCCCATACATTTACGTGTTTCATGGAGTATGGTGACTTGAAATGCTGCACTTCAGGTCACAGCTCTCTGTTCAAACTCATTCAGGTTCCGGTTTACACTAATAGTCTGAAGAAGTATGTCTTTGCACGAAAATAGTTTAGCAACAACTTCAATGTAAATTATAAGATGAGTATTCTGATTCACTTTCTCTATACACACAACCGTTTTAATTTATATCATCTGTGCTAGTTTATAACTGTCATAGATTTGTTATTAACAAATTTGGTCGTTATCGATGAGTTTTTGATAGCTGGTGTTTCCAGACAAATGTGGATTGCTTAACTTCGGAACATCTGTGGATGCTATAATAGAATGCAATCGGTAAGTGTATAGGAAATGAAACATATTCGTGTTCATTGATATATTGGTAATCGGAAAACTTCTTGCCGATAATTTTCCTGTTCACAATAATGTATGTTCCTGAGTAATTTCAAATGATTGGGATTACCGTATTGTTGTACTTTCTAGCTTCTGTTAAGTTATTCCGTTGACAGCAGGCGAATTATTTACTTGTGATAATTTTTGCTGATATATTAATGGACTTTTCGTATTTGGTGCTACCTACGTGAGACGTTATTGTTTAGTTGCTGGGAGAATTTGAGCAGCACCACCTACGCTAGTGTTATGGCTGACACAATCTCCAAATGTTTCAATTTCAATGCGGCTGCAATTAGTTTTAAAAGCTACATTACCTGGGTAAGGAAATTGGTATTTCTTCTACAGAGCTTAAAACTCAGATCTCAATCGATTTGTCATTTATGCTATTCATCATGATCTCAGTGATGATTCTAATTGGCAGCATGTAGGATTGAAACTCTTGTTTTATTGAGTTTACTTTCAGACCACTTCTGCAGTCTCTTCTGTTCGGAAGAACATTCTTACCAATTATATTCAAGTAAGTCATATGTTGAATATTCATTACTTATTAGTAACGATATCCGGTTGGTACACGAGAATACAGTTTGTCGTTTTCAACTTCCAGACTGCTCTTCACCTGTTTAATCCTGAGCACTGCTTTGTCTTTAAACTGAAATTGTATGAATTGTGTTCACATTTTATTTCAGCCTACTTGCTGTTGCTTTGTATTGTACTGCATTGTTCTTCGAGAAAATTCATCAGAGCGTTTTGGCTGTTCACATACTTATTGGAATAGTCGTAAGCGTGTATTAGTAATGTACATTATTGCCATACATTGTTGTCATAATGATTAAGAGCATACTATGTTTGAAAATTTCTGTTAAGGATTATGTGTTCACAATCTCTACTGCAGAGCTTTAACCAGTATATGACAAATGTGCAATCTCATGTCTTTTTGATGCAGCAGACTTCTCCAACCTGCTTCTAGTTTTTTCAGTGTCATAGTTGATGAGAGTTACTAATGACTTTCTGTATTTTTTGTGAATAGAATAGAGAGAGACAAATGATCGTGCTCACACCATTCACTCATGACATGCAGATATTTAACATAATAACCACAGATATTATGCATCATGAAGTATATCAAACCTCCATAAAGTTGAGATTTGTACTTGAAACATGCAGCTTTCCTGAAATCCTGTCAGGGATAAAATGACTTCACAACAGGATCAATATGTGCTTTACTGAAAGCAGATGTAACATATCGGAGAAATTTCATTGGCCATATAATAATGAAGTTAATGGATATATTGAGATATTATAAGGTTAGTCAGTGAGCGTGACATAATATTTTAGAATAACAGCGAACCAAGCGACCAGCTTAGATCTTCAGCTACCAATCACCTCCATCGATTCATTGAGTATACTTTGTTTTGCTCACCTAATTTCCATCGATTGTATTATTTAATTGAATAATAGAAATAACCAATTGCAATTAAAATCAAAATGTTTGCAGACTGCCGAATCTACAGTTTAAACAGAAAGGTTAAGACAGGGTATACTTGTAAATGGCAGCGTACACTAATACATCAGACAAATTTTCCTCGTACTGCTACACATTTTATCATTGACATTCAACCAAATGTCATGTATTTCTCTAAGGAGACAAGGTAAAGAAATGTCTCAATTTATTGGTTTGTGCTTCAGGTCAGATAGGACAATGTCACACGATCTACTGTCAATCAATCTTTCATTTGAAGATCCTGGATAAATGGAAAATATCATGCAATAAACTCTACCAAACATCCTATGTATTTTAAAACGCTGTCCAGACTAGACTTAGTATTGATGTATTGTCGACTGGGACAACTACTTACAATCACATTCCGTCGATCAGAAAATTCAGCATGCAACATGTCAGAATTCTTTGTAACTTAGACGCAAATTTTCAGTTATCTGTTTGCGAATAATCTGTTTGGATGGACATGCTTCAGTGTAAATCAATCTTTTCGCTATGAGATTAAGCCATGATATTCACAAGTGAATGTCTCCTCACTCTTCATATATAACGACATGTTGTTTGATAACGTTTTCCAAGTTCATTGGACTACTATACTCCAAGAAGCTAACTCGACCATACAACCGGGAAGCATCACTAAACATTGTATGCATCAGAAATTCTGTATCTGGATTTATAGAAGTCATCAATCAGTGAAGTCATTTCTGTTTGAAATGACCAAAATCCAACAAGACAATAAATTTAAGTAATTTTTCCAGCTGACATCCCTTAGCGAAATGTTGAAACAGTAGTGAGCATCCTTTTTCGGAAATACGCTTCCGTTGTCTACCTGAGTTTGAACTTTGGATTTCACATTTGTAAGGTGAGACCATTGGTCAATTAACCACTCTTGTGGAATCCATCGGCCCATAAATGACAAATAAAGCCAACTTGTGAAATACCAATATAGCTTGGGTCAGTCACTTTCATAGACGTGGTTCAGTTCACACATCCAACTTAGGCGAACTCAGTTTCCAGAATTTATCGCCGCGATCGACGCCTCTTCTTCCAGCAATCGGTCACAGATGCGTGGTAATGATTTACTGGGAATGGACGTATTGACAAAATAAACAAAGGTGACTCAACAAAATCTGCTAATCATATCAGTCAGATACGAAAGTATTTGAGCAAGAATAAATAGCGGCATTTTGATATCCGAATAATATAACAAATTTATTTGATATAAAGTCATCATATAAAATCAATCGATATAAAATCATTACGTTTCCTCATATGCTTTTCAATGTTTTGATTGTATCTATTTTCCTTCATTTCATTCTATAGGTCCTACTGCTCTCCGTAACCTATTGTTGTATTAACAGTGAGCTGAATCCCCTACTTCTTTTCATAACTTTGAATGCCACGTTGGCGTTATCTGTCTGTACCATATTTGTAGCGGTTATTCTTAAAGGATTGAGTGTCAGAGGGTTGATTGCATTCACTCTGCTGGCCGTTTTCTTTGAGTTCATAGGAATTCTTTTCCTTTCGCTTCATCGTTTGGCTAATCCATACTATGTGAGTTCATGTTGTCACTTCAAAATGGTATGAATAAATTAATACTTAGTCTTCTAGAGTATTGACACAATGTCCGGTGATTAGCAAATGCAGTAGAACGTTTCATTCTGAACTATGGTGACGAGCACGTTTTGTTCTGATTCTCAATGCAAACAATGATAGGCCTCATTATTCTGTCAAATGTAATGATTTCGTATTCTATAAGCTTATAAGTTCACATAGCTTTATTAAAGATCTAATGAGCACCGATTAATGCATTTCTAATTGGAATAATTCTTGAATAAAGTCTTAGGTCTGTTTTAAGCAAATGCGTCCGGTTGTTTTGCATCGTAATGTGACGTCTTAACTACAGTAACACATTGTAAGCACTCATAATCAAAATTAACACAAACATGCATATGTTAAAATTATTCCAGAAACATGAGACGTGGAAATATGCTTAATATACACATACATGTGATTGTGCAGATCAATCGAAGTGACTCTCCACTGAATATCTCTTCCTTTACATGACCTTGTGAGGCGTTCTAGGCTACTCAGACGTAGGTAGTGTCAACAGTTTTTTCCAGTGTTTGTTTTCTCTATATTCTGAATTGAGAGAATACTGTTTTTTTCCTCTTCCAACTTCCTTCAGGAGAGCGTCAGCATCATATGCCTTGCAATCGGTGCAGTGTTAGTAAGTTGTCCGTGTTATTAAACTTACATTCACGTTATTACATAATATTGTCTCTTTTGTCAGAAAGGTGCTCAGCATGAATATGAAAGAGAACTAATGAGGGTGTGTGACCTTTCCCTAAGTACATAAAGCCTGAACGCATCGTCACCGTTGAATTTAAGAGATGACGTGGGAGCAAATACTTAATTTGTCCAGAATGTACCATCCTCACCATCCTCATCCATTATTGATGAAAAGATAAGCACGCATGCGAATAGGGAGAAATGAGTGTTGGTTTGCATTAAAAAGGCAAAGAATAATGAGACACAGTTATTATTAAATGTGGGTTTGTAGGGACTTGATTCTTCACTGGTTTGGTCACCAGACGACATCAGTTAGAGAACTGTTGGAAAACCAGGAAGTAATGGACAGTTCTTTCGTCCACATTTCCGACACAATCACCGTGACTGGAACCCATGACCTCTAGTGGCAAGGCGAGTCCCTAGTCTTTTCAGCCACTGGGACTCAACTCAATGGCTGGTAGTCACGTACCGCCGAAAGCTATCAAATCAGCACTGCATGATGGTTCAGTATTCTCTAGTATTCCAGTGGTACTCTTACCAATGTCAGCTCAAGATTAATCCTGTAACAAAGCATTTTGTGTGTATTGAAGACAGGCTTATGGTGTACACATAAAATATGGATGTCTACAATATATTGAACGTTCCCATTCGTTTTATAGAAATCTTCGGAATAATTGTCACTTGAAATTTATTGGCAGGTCATTCTCGTGTATGAAACCTCTCATCGACCAGAAATCGAGTACTTCTTCCAAGGGGTTAGAAATGAACTACTAGATTAAGATCTGATATTTCGTTTTCTGGGCCAGAGGAATAGACACATTTATTTAGAGATTTTATTATGATACAGGTCGCATAAGTATAACATAGGCATTGCAAATATATTTCACTTTTACTAATACAAATGAGATGAATCATATTTGTGACTAAACATATTGAGTTTGTGATACAACACCTGAAGATGCATAATTTCTGAGATCTTTGACAGTATTTCTAACAGTTACGTGGTTATTGTTTTAAAACACACAAAGACACACCATCTTTCCAAGGTGGTTCATTTGAAAATCATGATTTATAATTACAGGTTTTGTTCATGATGGCAAATGGACTGAGACGGTGTTTGAAAATTATTGATTTGGCAATCTGTTCTGCAGTCAATCAAGCATTTTTCATGTGGGTTTTCTTTACACTTTTATTCTCAGCAATTTATTCATTAGCGCTTAAATTAGTAGATTCTGCTTCTATATCTGAGGCTACAAATAAAACTGTTAGACAACCTCTTGTTGAATAACTGATATATACAACTGATCTTCTTATATCCATGGATTTTCTGTTATACATGTATATGAATAATTACAGTCATTAATCTGTTAAATTAGTTCAAGTGAGGTAATTCTGACCATTAACTACTCTCTTCGACTGGCGACCTGTTAGTTATGTGCTAGAATGTTTGATGGAGCAGTTTCCGTCCTAGTGAAACCTGCCTACAGTTCATTTACCGACTGATGATGACTTGTTGTTGGAGCATAGACGTGTGACTGCAAACAACCCACACTAATCTTTTGCTGCAAATTTCATAAACAGAACTTCATGTCGTATAGCATAGTGGCCGGGATCTAAAGAGACCACAGCTCGGCATCACAGAAGCTTCAAAAGCCATCAACCGACTTTTCATTCCACTGGAAATAAAAGCAGCGCGTTAATCATTAAATGGGTCGCCAAACTTCTTGTACAACCTGAAAGATCAAAAACAAGCGTTATATAGAAAAACAGCTGTTAACATATTATACATTACACTACTTTGTTAAACTTCCATCGCGAAAATATTGTCATCTCACCGTAAGCGGGATCAAAGAAAGCACGAAGACTTCTAGAAACTCGAAATATAAACTAAACTGCATTTGTTTGACACATGAACGTCAACATAATTTACGGTGCCTAGTGTTGAATCCATTCATTCCCTACCTTCTGAGAAAATGCATAATGACTGAGGCGTTAGGACGTGCTACGAAGAAGAAATAGCCTCATGAAACGCAATCAAGTTTAAGGTTTAAATGATGAGAAAAGAAGTCTTTACTCATCTGTACATCGATAGAAAGAGAAGAAAAAATGTTCAAATCAGACATTTATGCACCTTAGGAATGCGTTTTGGTTCTCGAACAAGCTTACTCTAAATTGAGCAAAGAGAGTGGTGGTGAAACATCTGTGGAATCTACATGGACGAACGATTTCCAGATTTCACGTTTCTTTAAACAAAGGTTGAAGTCAGCGTTCAACAATCAGAAACTAGTTGATCGATTTTGTTCCATTGCTTCATAAGACATCTCAGTGGTATATACCAAAAGAAAAGTAGAATGCTTTCACCAGCTGCCGTCTAAGGGATTTCAGTTTACAGAAGTAGGAATTCAAAAATGCAGGTTTTATGAGTCATCTTTCCAAAGCTCTTATCTCTCTAAGGAACATTAAAAATTAAAGCAAACACTAGTTTGTTTTAAATTCTTCTTTAGACATTACAATTATGTTTACTCTGTAAGCTGACTGACAGATCTTAATGCTTTTATCGATTTCACGTGTTCATCATAGCTGGATGCAATATATTAGCTTATATACGCGTAAGAAGCATTCACCATTTCAATTATTTTAGCACAGAAAAGACAGTGATGGGAACTTTGAATTATTTATGAAATGATATTGTGATACAACCGTCAGAGGGACTGACTTAATAATTTAAGTCTAGAGTAAATGTAACTAAAGGGCTACCAATCAATAGCGAGAGACCTTGTTTGTGTGACCAGAATAACTATTTCAGCTAAGATTCTAAAGTATTTTAAATTAACTCGCTAAATCCTTATCCCATTCAGAAGCTGCATTCATATGGCAAGATGGATACAAGAGTGGTTTTTTGTCTGATTCTTCTAGGTGCAAAAATAATCATCAGTTAGCAGTTAGCTCAGTGTTAAAGGGTTTGAAACAAATTTTATTTCAATTTTGATTGCATTGAGTATATGTTCTTTATTGATAAATTGGTTTGCCTTATACAATCCTATTATTACAGTTTTGACTAGAAGCAGGTTAAGATGCAATTGAACTGCGAGAAAGTGATCAGAACAGCAATCGTGTTATGACAAAACTGAGATAGAATTACAATAAAAAGAAGTAGAGTTTGCAGTGTTACACTCATTCAATTGGCGTGTATGGTATCCATTAGTGTTACTGGCTATTCCAATTAAAGTAGGTAGTCGTGAGTAAACTAAACTTTGGAAAGAAATCTATTTCTACACTGTTGATACTTAAATCACATGAATTGCCAAAACATCTGCTTTAGTGACACAGGATCTTAACCACTTACTAGTCACTTTATTCTTCAGAATAAATTTGTGTTAATTAGAATGAAATGCAAAAACAAGACGAAGTCCTCCATCAAACTGAGATATCTCATTGAGTGATATTTCCAATATAAATAAATTATCCTGAACAAATATTCTATAACAGATGAACAGATATCACACTTTAACTTTTGGACTTCTTATTTTACGACTGAAAAAAACAAACTCAAATGAGTATCTGAAACTGAATCAAGACTCTCAGATCATCGATTTTTCAATATGGCCCTGTGAAATAACCAGGTTGAAGAAGGTGAACAGTATCATTGAGATAATCGTACAAAATATTTGAGAAGCATCTAGACTAGCAGACTGTAAGATGATCATCATTCTAGAAGAATATTTTGTTGTGGTTAAGCAAAGATGTGAAATGGAGTGTAACAGTGTGGCAGTCGCTAAGTACTATTTAACGACGTGTATTGGGGAAAGTGTTGTTGGGAAATTTTCTATGAAATTATTCATAACCTCTCTCAGAATTCTGAATAATTCAATCGTCATACGGCAAATAGAGAAACAGATTAAGGACAATCAACATCTCTCTTTAAAGCAGGTAGTACACCTAGTGGTGCTGGTGGGGGTGTGGTGGAACAGTGGTTTCCGCTCAGGGATGCAGTAACCGAATTGTAATCGTTCAGCTATCCCGTTGGTAAAAAGGTTGTACACAGTCGTTCTATTGCAATGAGGCCTTCATAAATTCGCTTTTTTCTAAGTTGAAGTTCATCCCATACTGGCGAAACGTTTTGGATGTGGTCTTCAAATGTATTAAGTGTTCAGCATCATCTGCACAATCGATGAGTTAGTTGTAGATGCATGCGTAGACTAAGGAGAGACTACGGAATAACTAAGTATTTAACCGTTGGAATATCTCTGTGGAGTTTGCTTTTACAAAAGGGATGAGGGCGAATTCGCATAAGTTAAATTGAGTTGTTTATAGCCAGCAGTCTCTTCGTTCAGTGTGCTCAGTTATTATTTTATAGTCACTAAAAAAAGTGCTTTCTTAAATACCTCAGTCTGATCTCGTCAGCGTTCATGTGAATATATCATGATAATGGCATTTCCATATTCAAATGTTTTAGAAGTTCACTAGCTTTTAAACTGAAGCCACTAATCCTCTACTTCTTATTGCCATTCACGAACAAGTAGGCAAATACTTCAAAGAAGGATTGTATTTTTAGAATTTTCCAAGGGATTTCCATGACTGGACGAATAACAAAAACCTTCATTATACACAGCGTTCCCGTTTTTCTCAAAAATTCATTTGAGTAGTAGGAGATTAAAATATCACTAGCTGTGTAATCGTCAGAGAGAGATGCATGTTTGACTGTTGAAGGAGTTTGTCAGAGTCAAAATTCATAATGGATGATAGGTTGAAGTCAACAACAAACGTGAAGTGTCAGCATGTTGAAATTCACGTCAAGAATATAACTGCACTCAGAGTGATGCCATGCTGCGCATTAGAGTACAGAATATGGATTCAGATCTTTCAAAATATCTTCTCCAAAAACATTGTAAAGGAAATACAGAAGGTTCATAGAAAATATCACACTCTCTTGCACTTGTTACATGCTACTGAACTGTTTTGGCATGAAACTGGGTTCACAGTACATCCAACGTACTACAAAATGATGAGACACCTATTTAATTTCTCGAAACTTTAAGGGGAAACATGAAGAACGTTACTGTAATACGAAAATCCATGAGAAGCCTTGACGATCTCCAAATTATAGAAAAATCTGTTTGTAGTTTAAAAGCTCATAAAAATAAAAGCTCAAAATATGCAGTCATCTCACGAGTGTTTAATGAAGAAAGCACAAGTATGCGATCATCACTTACCGGAAGACGAAGAAAGTGCGTAAGGGAGAAAGGTTTGCGATAAAAACAACGGAAATGACGCTACTCTTTAACCATTTCAGTTTGTCTGGTCCGAAGTTTCAGAACATTATGACAAAAGACGAACACATTTTCAGGACTTTAGAAATTTACTCTCTTTACTTTCAGTTTCAAATATGAAGCATGTTGATTCTTTAAAAAGTTTTAATTGAGCCAGTTCGGTTCGCGCGTCAAAGTGTTTTTCTCTCTCACCGTATATTTAATCGCTATTCATGCTTTAGCCCGTTCCTCAGAATTTTTCTCCATATAATCAACGAAAATCCACTGCTCATATTTCCCTGGAATATTATAAAGTACGCCGTTAGACGTCAACAATGCATCTTCGTAACTGTAATGAGACAACTGAAAGACATGTTATATCACGCTTGAATAACAATTATTAGGCAGCATTAAAAATTCAATTGTGGGCAAGATTAGTAATTAAATTTTCAGAAATGATGACTTGCGGTGGCTTTTCCTTTACATTTCATCCATTTTACCTCGAAAGACGCAGTATTCACAGTAATTATGACTTTTTACAGCAGTGATTTGTTGCGTTTGTGAGACAGTTAACCCACACTGTTGGAATGCAACTATCGAACTGTTCATTGAGACGACGGTGGTTTTGAATGTAACTGTTAGTTTGTAGGGAATTGATTGTTTTTAGTTTTGATAATGGATTAGTGTTATATAGAGAACCACTGAAAACCATTGGTCACCAGAAAATTATTTCCTTTTAATCTGGAACTTTCCATCAGTGGACACAGGTCAGTCTTCCGGGGCAGAACTCAGGGACTTCAGGCTACAAAGCGAATTCGTCTACCAATCAGTCACCAGTAGGAATATTTTGGCCTCTGTACTCAAGGGACATTGTAGTCCCTCATAGTGCCTGAATGTTGTCGTCAACTGTTACGTAAGGTGTGTAGTGTATTTTTGACTGTGTCAGACTTTGAATTACAAGGAAGCACATAATAATTATTGCAAGTTATTTTGATTCACACAGCGTGAAATATTCAGAATTATACCAAAACGTTTGTGA